CTGGGGTAGTTGTGAAAGGGTGGGGATCACGGAGGGGGTGGGATAGTCACAGAGGGGGTGATGTCACAGAGGAGGCTGGGGGTTCACAAGGAGCTTCGAGTCTGCTCGGTTTCTCTTCTAGGCTTGGTGTCTGAGTAGGCCTGGATGGAAGTGTAGTAGCAGAAACAGGTGTGTGGGGGGGTTAGCCTTGCCGAAGTGCTTGCAACCCACACTGCTCTGAAGAACAAAGTTCATATCCCGACTTGACCATGGAAACTCACTAGGGGAGCAATAGTGATAGAACCACTCCTTAAATATCTCACTTACCTTGAAAGCCCTATTAGGGTCGCTATAAGTTGGTTCTGACTTGACAGTACAGAACACACACATACCATGAAGCCTAAGGAATGGATTCTGCTTTCTGCAAATAGGAACAGATAAATGTGAAAAACCTAATGTATGCCAGTGCTCTTACAGTGGATTGGATGAAGAGAAATGCATATCTGAAATGTTTCTTCCTTTTGCATGTTAAGCTGTGATAAAGTTCATGAGTCCATGGTATATACAGTGAACCAGATAATACATGGCACATGCAATGCACATTTTCAAAGCCACTGTTAAATATTTGTTGTAACTTTCATTCTTCTCTTTAAGGATGCTACTTTGAGGCATCTCTTGCTGACTTTTATTGCATGGTTGTGCTGCCATTATTTACTCAACCAAATTCCAGGGCAATTAAATTGGTCAATAGGCTCCACACCTTCATTTTGGAGGACTATACATTTTTCATTCATTTTGATTTTTACAAATTTTTATGTCATCTTGTGCCACAGTTGAAATTAATATTGTTGTTGTTTTTGATGAGGAGGATGATAATTCTAAACTTGGGAATGTAAGAAACAAATGTTTCCTTTTGCCTCAGCGTTGTCTTATATTTAAAAAATAAACAATTAAAACTTCCCCAAATGTGCACATTTGCCACAGAGACATCTTTTTCTTTCTTTCTTTCTTTCTTCCACCCCCAACTTGTACAAGCACAAACCATACTCCTCCAGGGGGCAAAACGACCACCAACATAGTTGACCTTTTAGCTTCCTCCTACATGCTTCCAATAAAGTAGGTTGCTTTCAGAAAGACACCTAGCAATTCACATATTACTCACCCTAAAGCTTCATTTTAGCACTTATAAATGCCCTGGAAATAACAGTATAACATTCCCTTAAGCAACCTTGATTTTAGTATTTGCATTAGTAATTGAAAGGTTTGTTTCTTGTCACTACTACTAATGTTACTGAGGCCACCGTGCTGAGATAACAGTGGTAATTACCGGTACTAAGAACTAGAGCAGACGGCAATAGAGTATCATGTCTGGTCAGGTTGGAAAGGATTGCTTCACTGAGAGTGATCTTCCATAAAGCAAGTCTTCCATGCATAGAGGAATCACTCCAGCCCAGATCGTGGCCAGTGGAGCAAAACGGATCCAGATCAGATACAGAGCAGGGATAGGCTAGTTCATGGTGACCCCGATCATTAGAAAATAGTTCTCGCCAGGCCATGACAGTCCAAAATACGAGCTACATTTCCAAGTGATTGCACCCACATATTGTGGCTGGAAATACGTAGACTAGTAGTACTTTCCTTTAGATTGGTGTGTCTGTGTTCCAGGTTTGTCGAACATAGACTACTTTCCTTTAGACTGGTGTGTCTGTGTTCCAGGTTTGTCGAACCTACTTTGTATTCTACTTGAATCCCACAACACAGGTGCAAAAGAAAGGGTGTGTGCTTGAAATCAAAGAGCCAGGGTAACTTTGTTCACATTCTCAGTTCAGGAGTGTATTTTCAGCACCAGAACTGAATTGCTCACGTAATCTTTTCATGCAAACAAAAGACAAGACAGGAAAAAAAACAACTCCTCCCATGCCAGGTTAACGCAGGTTTTCTTTATTGGGGCACTGATTTAGGTAGGGAAAGCTACTTTGTTGCCAGTCATTCAAAGACAGAAACCTTTACCAAGTGACTGAAGATCTCCCAGAGATCTAATTATAGATCCCAACTGTCTTCTGCCCCAGTAATTTTGGGCTGCCCAAAGAACTGAGAGCCAGTGCGATGTAGTGGCTAAAGTGTCAAATTAGCACTCGGAATGCCTGGGTTCAAGTCACATCACCCCTTGGCCATGAAACTCAATGAGTAACCTTGGACAAGTCACTCTCTCTTCGTTTGACCTACATCACACAGTTCACGAGAGGATAACGTTGGGGCTGGAGAGAACCATGTGGGCTGCCTTGAGCTCATTAAAAAAAAGGCAGAATAGAAATATAGCTGATGAATAAAAAAAATACATAGTTATTGTTTCTGCCACATATGAACTCCCAACATCTATTTATCTGGCAACAGTTTTTGTGCTTCCTTTTGAAATTACATAGATCAAATCATCACCCAGTCGTGTGATGGAAACTAATAAGGATGTGAATTTTGTTTTCTCTCATTCTTGGGCATGAAACTGCGGGCCTGGATGTTCTCTTCACTCCTTATGGTGAGACCTCTCTGTGTGACTTCCCCCCTCAAAGGAAAAAATTTTTTGCAGGAAATCTCACAGGATTTCCTGGAAGTTTTATGGTCATTCTTTCCAAAAGAAATGCCATGCTGCATGGAGATTATTAATATCGCTGCGCATAATGGCATCTTTCGTCTAGATAGAACATTCACCTGGAAAGGGCAAAAGTGGCAAGCTGCACAAGCTAATTACATTTTGTTTGCAAAATGGCATGTTCCTGTGCAAGATTCACCTGAAAGGGCAGTGAATTGTGCAGAATTCGGCAGTTTCTTGTTTCTAGGCAAAAATAGATAGAAAGGGGGAGGGGACAGAAAACAAGGTTATTGTTTTGTTTTTTGTGAGAAGCAAAGAAAACAATAGTACTCAACAGTAATAGCACAGAATCTCAGCCTGGCAAGACAGTGAAATTTCCCAAGAACAAAAATTGTTGAAGTACTCATCATGCCCCCAGATCCTATTATAGCAAAAAGAAAAGTACAGTAGGAACCCTGCCCCCATATCTGCAGGGGATTAGTTCTCATAATTAGATCTGCTATGGATGCCAGAAACTGCAGATATGAGAGAACCCTATATTCAAAATACAAGGAGGAGGGACAAAGACCACAAGGGGAATGCCGCTGTATACAGGCCTGCAGTAAACTGCAGACAAGTAAAACCATGTTTATCAATCTTTATACAGTAGGTTGTAGGAGCCCTCCTGTAAGGTGCATTATGATGGGCAGTAAACATTGTCTGGAATGAACTTAATTTGGTGAGGAAGTTCAGTGCACTTCTATCTGGCAATAAACAGCACAGAATTCAGTGGTTTACCCTGTAGAAAGTTGGCAACGATTATAGTGCAAGCATCATCTTTTTTAAAACCTTTATTAAGTTGACACAATGGATCTTTCCTGACACATTATTTTACTCATTCATTCATTTCATTGACTGAAACTGGATGCAGAAGTTCCATAATTCTGTAACAGATCATGTGTTTGTGCTGTGTCTAAAACGACACAAAAAGGGAAGTTCCAAAAAAACTACAGTAGCAGATTTGCTTTCACAGAATTGAAATCTTAAGTTTCATGAAGCACCCTTGTGCTACTGGATGCATCTGCGATAGCCCTGAATATTTCCACTATGACTACATTCAGCTGGATCTATTTGTTAAGACAAATGGATTGATTGATTTAAAATATTTTTATCCCGACTTTCTCCTTAAAAAGGACCCAAGGCAGTTTACCTCATTAAAAAGAAGAGCTTACTGTAACTCAACACAGGACTCAAGCTGTATTGTTCGGTGTGTTGGACATGGGCTTCCAGAGTCTTCTAGTAAGTGTACAGTACTCACAGTGGTTTACTAGTCAGTTCCTCCCACTCGTGGTGCTCTAGAATGACTCACCTTGCTCAAGGCTGCACTGGAGGAAAGGCATGTAACGCCATCAGCTTCCCCTGCCATACTCCAGCTGATTTCAGCTGGCCAATCTCCCAGTAAACAAAGCCAGGATTTGATCTCCTGGCCCTGCAGGCAGGTGCCCCAATCCATTTAGCTACACATATTTAGAGAGGGGGGCTTGTCCATCCCTGATTTGAAAAAGATCTTCTTCACCAGGGGATTAGAAAAGGAGAAGTTCCTCTAAGACAAGTGGTTATAACATGACTCTTGGGAAAAGCATATACTTTCATAAGAAACCACCAAATAAGGCAAACATGCCAATTTCTCCCAAACCAGTCACATGGTTCCATTAGTTTTATGACCTCACTTTGAAGAACTAACACACATTTCTTAACAAGATCATTGGATTGGATTTTGTCATGCATCTTCCCTCCTTTCATCTGTCAAGTTCTGCACCGTCTGTGTTTTCAGTAGAGTTTTGTTTATAACAACCCTTGGACAAAACTACAGAATGGAATTCACATGCACCGTACAGAGATGCAGTAGAGTATTCCATGCAATAATATAATGTCTACTCAGAAGAAAGTTCCATTGTGTTCAGTTACTGCACAGTAACTCAACACAGGACTGCAGCCAGATTGGTCAATGTTTTGCACAAGGATTAAGGGAAACTCATACAAATCTCCAGAGAAGCTCACTGGATGACTGTGGATCAGGACTTTTTATTAGCCTAGCTTACCTTACAGGGTTGTGGTGATAATAACATGCCAGAGAAGGGGCCATGTACACTGTCTTGGGCTGCCTTCAAAAAAGGTGGGATAAATAAAATAAAATAGAATATGCAAATATACCATGCATATTATCTTGAGCTCTTTAGAGAAAAAATGAAATGAAATAAACAAACAGACAAACAAGGAGCACTCTAACTATGGACTGGCCTTCTGTAAAAAGCGTTAGAGTACCATCCCAGTATGAAACAAGGAAATTTGCTTATCTTGCACTGTGTACACAAACCAAATGTGAACACAAATATCTTTTAACAGGCTCTGACATTATTAAACTACTGCAATGCTAGTCACTAGCAAAAGCAAGAGGCAAAGCTATTTGTTCCATGACACATGATCTGATTAGCAATATACCTGAAAACAAGATGTCTTTACTTGGAGCATACAGGACATGTGAGCAAGTGGGCATGTAAAGTTGTGTGTGTGGATCCTGTGTGCTATCAAGTGACATCCATCTTACAGTCTTCCTAATAGGACTTTCCAGGTAAATGAGATGTCTCAGGAGAGGTTTTACTAGTTCCAACCCTCTGCCCCAAGTGAATTTCCATGGCCGAGGCAGGGATTTGAAGCCAGGCTTCCTGAATCTTAATCCATCATTTTATACACTAGCTAGGGGTTATGCTGCCCAATCTAGTCTAGAATATAAATAGCCACTGAATTATTTTAAAGTGGGTGAGAATGATTTAAAGCTGAGACATGGGGAGGGCACTTTCACCTGCCAACATGGTTACAAAGAAAAGACAAATGTATGAGTGGGTAATACTTTTTTATTTAAAATAATTGCAGTTTTGTGGAGGAATGAACCTACCCTTCATCAATAGTGCAGTAAAATTGTAGACGAGAGTCCAGAGTTCAAAAACTGATGATACATGTCTGTGAGTGGTGATTTCAAATGATTCAGGTTTTAAAAATCTCCTTGAGGCTGTGGTCTCTAGCATCCTTGCAGCATGGTTGGAATTTTTACACTTCGCTCTTAAGACCAAAAGGTTTCTGATTACTCTTTGGCCGTGTTCTGAAGGTTGTTCTTCCTAACGTTTTGCCAGTCTCTGTAGCCGGCATCTTCAGAGGACAGCACCTTCAGAACACAGCCAAAGAGCCCGAAAAACCCACAACAACCATTAGATCCCAGCTGTGAAAGCCTTTGCGAATAAATTGGGATATTAGTGCACTGTTCTTATGTTCTGTCACATTCCTTCTGACTTAAAGGGACTTGAACCCGGGTCTCTTGAGTCTTCTTCCAACACTCCACCACACCAGATCTACAGGATATTAGTAAAGGTTTCCTTGACATTTTGTCCAGTCATGTCCGACTCTAGGGCACGGTGCTCATCCCTGTTTCCAAGCTGTAGAGCCAATGTTTGTCTGAAGACAGTTTCCATGGTCACGTGGCCAGCGCGGCTAGATACAGAACGCAGTTACCTTCCCACTGTGATAGTACCTATTTATCTACTCATATTTGCATACTTTTGAACTGCTAGGTTGGCAGGAACTGGGACAAGCGACAGGAGCTCACTCCGTCACGTGAATTTGATCTTACGACTGCTGGTCTGCCAACCTTGCAGCACAGAGGCTTCTGTGGTTTAACCTGCAGCACCACCACATCCCTAGGGTATTAGTACCAGTGTATATATCAGGTACAATATTTTATAGACAGAAGCCCTACATAGATGCTGTTCCATAAGACAACTAGTGTTTTATACAGTGAATCTAAAGTGTTATGCTGCCATTAACTGTTTACTTTAGTTACTCATAGAATGACTTAACTTTTTCTCTTAATTTGTTCATTAAAAAGACTTCTAGCCATTAATTTCTATATATTCCTACATTTCAAATAGCAGAAGAAATTTCCTACAGAGAAAAACCTTAGTTTTAAACTAAAATGTTATGCTTTAAGCTATAATCCCAAAAGCAAGGAAATTTAGATCTCAGATCCCAGCCATCATCCTCACTCGTCAATGTATCATTTTGGTACCTTAATTTTCATCCCAAGTGAATGCTACAACATAATCCCACTAGCTACCCCACTCCTTCCATAGCATATCACTAATGGTGAGAAGAGCTAAAAAGAAACATGGGCTTTTGATGGCGTGTAAGCTATAGATTCTCCATTCTGAAGGAAATTTCCATTCTGAAGGAGATCAACCCTGAGAGCTCACTGGAAGGACAGATCCTGAAGCTGAGGCTCCAAGACTTTGGCCATCTCATGAGACGACTCCCTGGAAAAGACCCTGATGTTGGGAAAGTGTGAAGGCAAGAGGAGAAGGGGACAACAGAGGACTAGATGGATGGACAGTGTCATTGGAGCTACCAACATGAATTTGACCAAACTCCGGGAGGCAGTGGAAGACAGGAGGGCCTAGCGTGCTCTGGTCCAGGGGGTCATGAAAAGTAGGATACGACTAAACAACTAAATAACAAGAAGCTATAGATTTCCAAACCACTTCCAAGAGTTACATAATCTTCAGTAGTTCAGTCCAGTTGATCCATATTTGAGCATGGAGGAAGTCTTGTCTATGAAGGGCTAAGCCTATACAAGCAACGTATTTTCACCTTTAGGAAATCAAAGAGCAGTGTTCAGTTCTTTTGTTTATTTGGAATGGAAATTAAAGTACAAAAGATGTACATCCATGTATTCATGTTTTGATGAGGAGATGAATGGTTGAAGAGTATTTTCCTTATTTGTATATAGCTCAATTATAACTTTTTGTTTTAACAGACTTTTTTCTCTTTTGAGAATTTCTCTGTGTTTGCAGAATGCAATATAGAGCTACTAGAACCAGAGCTTGAAAAAGTTACTGTGGGGGCTACAATTCTCAGAATTTGTAGCCTACAGAGTAACGTTGAGAGCCATGCTAGCTGAGGCATTTTTGAAGCTATATAGGTCAAAAAAAGTTAAAACCAGATTGTACTGACAAGCTCTCTCAAGATCTTGCAAAATCCAAATGCTTCCTTATTTAATGAATTGGTGATATTTAGGAAAACATCAACAATTCTGAGAATCCCATGTCGTTCTTTAGTTAACGTGATGAAACCAGGAATCAGTTTCTACAGTCATGAGATAAAAAGTCACACAGTCCACTTACTCTTCCTCTTTGTCTCAGCTGCCACACATATAGTAGATACCGTGTCACTCACCTTCCTGTAAATGCCACTGTGCTCCAATTAAAAAAGACCTAGTTTTAATACCAATTCCACTGCTCAATTTTCTGTGTCAACAGACAGAAGACAAGGTCTGGTCAGCAAGAACCAATGCCGTCAGCAAAATTTAGACATTAAGGTGTTACAAATAATAGTAAATTGTAATCAATTTCTTTTTCAATAATGAAAACAATTGTAATAAAGAATAACTTCTTTCATTTTGTCTTGTAACTAACTGTATATGCCTTCTTGTGTTAATTTTGTAGTAACATGCATAGGTATGTGTTGCACTCTAGTCCATTTATATATATATAACTTATATATATTCTTACTTAGTAAGTAGAGAGCTGCTTTTTAAAAAACATAATTATAATAGCAACTAATTACTTTTGGAGCCTCAGGGCTGTGACTATAACTAAATGCTTTTTAAAATCAGTTTGGGGCTGCAGGCCCATTTCTTTTAATGCCTGGATTAGCATATAAAGTAGGAAGGAAACCCTGGGTACAATTAGGATGTGCTAAACTTCCCTTTTCACACCACTACTTATCCACTCTCTGCCCCACCCCATCAAGCACTTTTCCCCCTAGCATAGTTCCATTGATGGAAATGAGCTCAGTTGGGAGAAAGGTTGTTGAGGGACAAGCTCAGGATGAAAGCAAATTAACATGGGGAAAGACCATCAACTTTTTATTTTTATTTTTAGCTTTATTTTATAAGCCAATCATAAAATGTATGCCAATATTCATGATTCGCTTTTCTTGTTGAATATAAATATATATTTTAATTCTAAATTGATCTTAGGCTTTCAATTATTGAATATTAATTTACATTCCATTTCTAAGCCAATCATAAAATGTATGCCAATAATCTTCATGATTCGCTTTTCTTGTTGAATATAGCCATTCTGATAGTTTATCCATCTCTGCCATATCCATGATTTTTACTATTAACTCATCTTGAGATGGATTCTCCTAGTCTTTCCAATGTTTAGCAAAAATAATTTTTGCAGCTGTCAAGAT